AATTTTATAACTATTGAATTTAACCAAGTTTCTACCTCCCCATTCAGAGATGCTGCACAGATCCTCAGTGATAGAAGTAATGATATCAGCTCTAGAAACAGATCTAGTTTGAGAATTAGGAGGACAGGAAAATGTGAAGAAGAGTGAAGAGTAGAATCATCAGCGTAAGAATGGATAGAATTAGTTGTTGTGTGAAGTAAATCATTGATAAAAGAAGGAAGAGAGTAAGTGAAAGAACAGAACCCTGTGGGACACCACTATTGGTTGAGAAAGAGCAAGAGATCAATCCCTCAACAACAACTGCCATGGATCGGTTCTCAAGGAAGCTAGAAATTAGAAAAGAAACTCGGGGAAAGAAACCATAAGAAGGAAGATTAGAAAGCAAAGACTTGTGCCATAACCTGCCAAATGCTTTGGAGATGTCGAGGGCCACGACGAAAGTTTTCCCATACAGTAGGTCGGGATATATCGTGACTTTATACAGTATATATATATAAAAAATTATATCGTAGCTACCAAAATTATCAAAAAAATTTCTATATACGTATAGCGAAAAAAAATGATTTCACGAGGGAAATCGGGCAGGAAATATTTCAAATGTACCGCCATGACAAACAAATGCGTTATTTGCTCACCAGAGGAGCCACCGTGGCTGCTCACTCACGCATTAACGCTCGCCCGCTGAGTGAGTGACGAGAAAGCAGCCGACTCTGCTGCAGATTACGACTTCTAAGGTGAGTGTAAATGGGTTGCTAGTGACTTGAAAAGTGAAGTGAAGAAAATGGAAAGCTTAATGGAAAAGATTTAATAGTGTAACTAATATTTTTGGTGTTCGTTTATGTAGGTGTGGGATTGTCAAGTGAGGGTGGCAGTGTGGCGTCTGCTGCCGGGTCTGGTGTTCCTTGATATTGATATTGAAATAGTCTGTTGTTCCCAAGTCTAGTGTTCATTGGTGCTTTACTTAGTAAGAAAATGAACTCGTTAAGTCAAGTTTTTTGCCTCCAGAACCTAACCCTATTTCCCCATTGATTACATGTAATTATATATTGCGATCTGGTATACAGCGAACATCGTTGGACCCTATCTAGCGATATATCCCGACACTACTATAATCCCTAAGAGAGGATTACCAAAGATGGGTGCAGTAGGAGAGCAGATCACCAGTCGATCTCGCCTGGCGAAAGCCATACTGGTGATCCGACAAAAGAGAATGGCATTCAAGGTGACGGAGAAAATGAGAGTTTAAGTAGTTTCGAAAATCTTAGAGAGGAATGAAGTTAGGGCAATGGGACGATAGTTAGAGGGATTGGAATGGTCACCCTTCTTCAGGATGGGCTGAACCAAGGCATGCTTCCAAGAAGAAGGAAAAGTTTGGATTTTCAGGCAAAGGCTTAAGAGGAGAGCAAGCACAGGGGCCAGAACTTCAGCACACTCCCTCAGAACACGAGGGGGTATTCCATCCAGTCCATGCGCCTTACTCACATACAACCTGGATAACACACCAGCAACCCTGCGAGTGGAGATTATAGGAAAGTGCATAGGTTCAGTAGGAGGAGTAGGAGGGATAGAGTTGGAATTGTCTAAGGTGGAGTTAGATGAGAATAAGGTGCCAAAGAGATTGGCTTTATCAGGGGGAGAGTTGGCTATAGAGTTATAAGGTCGGAAGAGAGGAGGAAAAGTGGGAGTGCAGAAGTTATTACAGATGATTTTGGTTAAGGACCAGAAGGATTTACTAGAGGAAGAGTTAGTCAGGACAGCGGTCTTTCATTTTATAACATTATGCTTTGCCCTTCGAAGAATAGCCTTACAATGATTCCTAGTAGTAATGAAAGATGAGTGGGTAATAGGAGAAGGATAGTTTCATAGCTTGATATGTCTTATCTCTCTCCCTGCATGCAAGAGAGCAGGAGCGATTAAACCATGATTGTATTGTGAAAGTTTTGATAGAAGATGGGATAAATGCACTCATACCACCCTATATAACCCCAGCAATGCTGTCAGCACATACTGAGGCATCCCGAGTGCAAAATCAACATTCAAACCAAGGAAAGTTGGAGAAGAATTCTCACAAGGATTGCCAGCTTGCCTTCCGATAGTTGGCATTTAGAGGTGGGTGGGGGAGGTGGTTGTGCCTAGTTTGATTTAATAGAAGTAAGATTGTGATCAGAAGACCCTAAGGGGGCAGGAATTGAGTATGAACAGTGTGAGGGGTTAGAGGTAAAACAGAGATCAAGAATGTTAGTAAGTTGATTGTGTTGATCAGGAACACATGTAGGTAGAGGATCTCGGTGTTGGGGTGTGTGGATTGCAACGACTCGTGGCAAGAAGTGAGATAGTCAAAGAATTCCAAACAGTTGGTAGAGTTGGGAGAATAGTAAAGGAAACAAAGAAAAATAGTCATAGTTGGTAGAGATATTTTGAGCCAGATGACATCATAAAGGACGATTCAAGATCCGTGAGTCGAGCTATAAGTGTGTTGCAGTAGGCGTATACACCTCCCTTAGGATGGGAAGATGTATAAAGGTTGTAGTTGGAGACTTTAAAAGGTTTGGGTGAAGCTGCTTTGGTCAGTTGAAGTTCAGATAGCAGTAAGAGGTCGGGGGAAGGGGTTAATAGATGGTGCTCCACAGAAGAAAAATTGGATCTCAAGCCGCGAATGTTGGAAAAAATTAAGTGTGAAAAAAGCCGATCCTCCAGCAACCGCGGTGACGTCAGTTGAGGCCCCAGTAACTTGATGATGATCAGGTCGGCCCTGGGGTCCACAACCTTCCCGACCAGTGGGACCCATCCTAGAAGGCCCCGCTTCAATATTATTGTCAACTGATATCATAAGAGAATAAAAGAATAGAAAGAATAAAACAGATCAAGAGTGAGAAAGGTTATATATGTTGTGTTGTCAAGGAAACAATTGAGACCCTGCAATTGCGTGTAAATGAGGCAGAAAGTCATATCAGCAACTTGGGACTTGGTCACATATGGCAGCAGGGTCGTACCACTAGACAACACATTATGCTTCCAATATCTTCCCAGGTGGTAGTACCTCCCTGTTTGGTAGCTGCCTACTACCCATGCAAACCACATACATATTATGTGGTCAGTTAGGTTAAGTTAGGTTAGGTTAGGTTTTGGGAATGATTTTCCGAGCAGCTCATTTTCTGGAAAAATCTGAGAAAATTTTCTCGATACTTGGAAAATTCGAGGGATGGGGAAGATTTTTTTTTTACGGGTTTGAAAGATGAAAATCAGGCGCATTTTCCGGAAATTCTGAGAAAATTTTTCGGTACCCGAAAAATTCCAGAAAATTCTGGTGATGGGGACGTTTTTCCAGGTTCAAGAGAGTCGTCTTGTTACCCGGAAATCTCTCATTCCCAGAAGTGCTCAGCACCAACTGTTCCGGCTAATGGAGATACAGGTTGTACCTCTCTAGTCCGGCATTCTGTGGTCCGGAAACTCCCGTGGTCCGGAATGATTTTGGTTTGTCCAATAGGTAGATAGGCAGCATTTTATTTAATTTTATTTTATTTTATTTTTTTATTTTATTTATTTTTTTTTTTTACTTATCTGAATTATTATTATTATTACAGGAGTATTAAATTTTTACCCCTCAGGCCCCAATGTGGGTCATTGACCTATGCCCGGGTGGGATAATCCCCTTAAAAAAAAAAAAAAAGCCGCGGGAAATTAAGGTTTGTTTACATCCGGCAGTTCGGCTGCACTCTCTCTCTCTCTGCTTGTCTATACAGAATACAACATTTAACCCTTCAATATATATGAGCAGTAAATAAGTGTTGCTTTCATATTCTTATGTAGAGTAATGACGATATATTTTCACATGTGCGCACTTACATACGAGCAGTCTCACTTTTTTTTTTACCATTAATGGTTAGCCACTTATATTGTTCCATTTATTAACATTAAATAACATTACAGGTACTTCAAGCAACCATATTCATTTTTTACATTAATTTTACTACAGCTAAACTCAGGGTCTTATTTTCTTCAGTTTTACTGTATATGTAGAACCAATCAGTCGCTGGTTTCGTAAGCTTTAACATAAACAATGCCGGCAGCCGTCTCGTCTCCTCTAATATTCCATGTATTATTAATAAATTGTATTGTTAATTTTGCACACACATACATTAATTCAATAAAAACAAATTCAGAAACATTAATTAAAATATATATGAACAGTAAATAAGTGTTGCTTTCATATTCTTATGTAAAGTAATGACGATATGTTTTCACGTGTGCGCATGCACATTTACATATGCGATCTCTCTTTTTCCTTTACCATTATCGTTAGCTACTTCTATTGTTCCATTTATTAATATTAAATAACATTACTTAAAACAACCATATTAATTTTACTACAGCAACAACCAAGGTCTTATTTTCTTCAGTTTTATATGTAGAACCAGTCAGTCACTGGTTTTGTAATCAACGAAAACAATGCTTTGTCATTTCCTCGTGTGTTTTAATATTCTACGTATTATTAATGAATTTTATTGCTCATTTTGCACACATAAACATTAATTCAATAAAAAAGACATTCAGTAATAAACAATAATGAATCTTTTGTACATAAGAGAAATGACGCTGTTTACACTATTATGCACGTCGTCTGCACATTGGCGGGCCGTTCAAACCCGTCGAAATTCAAGTTTCCGCCGTCAAAATTTTTATTTATTTATTTTTTTGTGTGTTCCAATAAAATACGTTAAGAATTAAAAACTTGCGAAATTTGAGAAGCTACTATACGACATTTAACCCTTCAATATGTCTTCAAAGAGACCATGACACAGAGAAAGTGGTGCTAGTGCTTCCAGGCATAAGCACAAGTCACTATCTATCCAGGAAAAGGGTGAATTTCCATGGTCCGGCACCGGTCAGGTCCCGAGGTTGCCGGACTAGAGAGGTACAACCTGTATCATATGCAGTAACAGAAAGTTTTCATATACAGGGTGTGATGGAATGTCTGTCACATACTGTCTGAGGTTTAACTGTACAACAGTGTACTTAATAAGTGGTTAAGTTACCTGTGTATCTGACCATTATTGTGGAAGTATTCAAGGCCCTTCAGTACCTCGCGTAGTGCTGTAGCGATCACTGCTTCGTCAAACACACCGTGCTTACAGTCTGATGTTTTCATTCTGTAAAACATCAAAATTCAATATACCCTGTACAGTACTGGATATATATATACAGTATAAACTTGATAAATCAGTCTAATTGGGGCAGACCCCAGTTAAAAAAAACAAATATTGTACATGAGGGGGGGGGTTGGAGATAACACTGCTTACCTGAACTATTTAAAGACAATCAGTTATGTTATTACTGTACTTCAACAACTAAGGTCATTAAGTGTATAACAAGGTTATTAAAAGAATATTACATCAACAAAAAAATATTATGAAACAGAACTCTCTGGGTTGAAAATCAGACATGTAAGTCTGGTTGTCACCGAGGTGATTGTTATTTACTGTAAAGTGTTATATGTAAGTAACCACAGAATTTGTCTTATGAATAAAGATAAAACTAAGAACAAATAAGTGTAGGAGCATATTGTATGTTTACTGGGAGGAGGGAGGGTAGCATGGCTCCCTCCCCCTCTCTCCCGCAAGATTCCTTTAACACTTCTTTAAGTAATTTCACCACAGTTCTCATATAATTTAGGATCATTTGGTGCCAGGTTGATATAATATTATACTAAAAGAATCAACTTTCCTGAAAAAAGAATCCCAAACTGAACACCATGAGTCATTTGTTTACAAAGAGCACACAGCTGATACCTTACCACAATGTCTGTCTTCCCCATTTAGTAAATTAGTACAGTACAGTTGTGTATTTGATCACCACTTAATAAATACTACTGTAGTGGATTTATCATCACTTAATAAAAACTATTGTAGTGTATTTATCATCACATAATAAGTAATATTGTAGTGTAAAGTATTATGCTTCTGTATATATCCTGGTTTATTCATTAATCATTTGTCTAAGTGTACAAGTAGCCAAACTGAGTCAACATATAACACTCAAAGGTAGTAAATAACGTTTTTAGGAAGGTATCTTCATATCAAATACTATACAGTGTGTTATAGTGACCCCTGTACTGTGTGGTGTAGTACTGACCTGTGTGGTGACCTGTGTGGTGTAGTACTGTACTGTGTGGTGTAGTACTGTACTGTGTGGTGTAGTACTGACCTGTGTGGCGACCTGTGTGGTGTAGTACTGACCTGTGTGGTGTAGTACTGTACTGTGTGGTGTAGTACTGACCTGTGTGGTGTAGTACTGTACTGTGTGGTGTAGTACTGTACTGTGTGGTGTAGTACTGACCTGTGTGGCGACCTGTGTGGTGTAGTACTGACCTGTGTGGTGTAGTACTGCACTGTGTGGTGTAGTACTGCACTGTGTGGTGTAGTACTGTACTGTGTGGTGTAGTACTATGCTGTGTGTGTGTGCTACACCTGTGTGGTGTAGTGCTGTACTGTGTGTGTAGTGCTGTACTGTGGTGTAGTACTGTACTGTGTGTGTAGTACTGCACTGTGTGGTGTAGTACTGTGACTTGTGGTGTAGTACTGTACTGTGTGGTGTAGTACTGTACTGTGTGTGTAGTGCTACCTGTGTGGTGTGCTGTACTGTGTGGTGTACTGCACTGTGTGTGTCAATACTGTACTGTGTGTAGTACTGCACTGTGTGGTGTAGTACTGACCTGTGTGGTGTAGTACTGTACTGTGTGGTGTAGTACTGTACTGTGTGGTGTAGTACTGACCTGTGTGGTGTAGTGCTACTGTGGTGTAGTACTGACCTGTGTGGCAACCTGTGTGGTGTAGTACTGTACTGTGTGGTGTGTAGTACCACTGTGTGGGTGTAGTACTATACTGTGTGGTAGTACTGACCTGTGTGGCGACCTGTGTGGTGTAGTACTGTACTGTGTGGTGTAGCACCTGTGTGGTGTAGTACTGACCTGTGTGGTGTAGTACTGTACTGTGTGGTGTAGTACTGACCTGTGTGGCGACCTGTGTGGTAGTACTGACCTGTGTGGTGTAGTACTGTACTGTGTGGTGTAGTACTGACCTGTGTGGCAACCTGTGTGGTGTAGTATTGCACTGTGTGGTGTAGTACTGTACTGTGTGGTGTAGTACTACTGTGGTGTAGTACTGCACTGTGTGGTGTAGTACTGTACTGTGTGGTGTAGTACTGTACTGTGTGGTGTAGTACTGACCTGTGTGGTGTAGTGCTGTACTGTGTGGTGTAGTACTGTACTGTGTGGTGTAGTACTGACCTGTGTGGCAACCTGTGTGGGTAGTACTGTACTGTGTGGTGTAGTACTGACCTGTGGTGACCTGTGTGGTGTAGTACTGTACTGTGTGGTGTAGTACTGTACTGTGAGGTGTAGTACTGTACGGTGAGGTGTAGTACTGACCTGTGTGGTACTGTACTGTGTGGTGTAGTACTGCACTGTGTGGTGACCTGTGTGGTGTAGTACTGTACTGTGTGGTGTAGTACTGTACTGTGTGGTGTAGTACTGTACTGTGTGGTGTAGTACTGTACTGTGTGGTGTAGTACTGACGGTGGGTGTGACTGACTGTGTGTGGTAGTATAACCTGTGTGACCTGTGTGGTAGTACTGACTTGTGTGGACCTGTGTGGTGTAGTACTAACCTGTGTGGTGACCTGTGGTGTAGTACTGTACTGTGTGGTGTAGTACTGACCTGTGTGGGACCTGTGTGGTGTAGTACTGTACTGTGTGGTGACCTGTGTGGTAGTACTGACTTGTGTGGTGTAGTACTGTACTGTGTGGTGACCGTGGTGTAGTACTGTACTGTGTGGTGTAGTGCACTGACCTGTGGCGACCTGTGTGGTAGCTAACCTGTGTGGTGACCTGTGTGGTGTAGTACTGACTTGTGTGTGACTGTGTGTGTAATTAAACCTGTGGTGACCTGTGTGGTGTAGTACTGTACTGTGTGGTGTAGTACTGACCTGTGGCGACCTTGTGGTGTAGTACTAACCTGTGTGGTGACCTGTGTGGTGTAGTACTGACCTGTGGTGTAGTACCTGGTGGTGTGTTGACTGTGTGGTGTGGTACTGTATGTGGTGTAGTACTGTACTGTGGTGTAGTACTGACCTGTGTGGCGACCTGTGTGGTGTAGTGCTGTACTGTGTGGTGTAGTACACTGTGGTGTAGTACTGACCTGTGGTGTAGTACTGACCTGTGTGGTGACCTGTGTGTGGTGTAGTATTGACCTGTGTGGTGTAGTACTGTACTGTGTGGTGTAGTACTGACCTGTGTGGTATAGTACTGACCTGTGTGGTGTAGTACTGTACTGTGTGGTGTAGTACTAACCTGTGTGGTGACCTGTGTGGTGTAGTACTGACCTGTGTTTGATGATGTCCAGCAGTGAGCCTCCACCCAGCAGCTTAAGGACCAGCCACAGCCTCTTCACCACAAAGGAGGTGTAGTATGTCACAACATTCTCGTGGTGACATAATGACATGGCTTGAATTTCTTTCTGCAAAATGGAAACTTAGATGAATAGGTCTTCAAGATGGTGCCAGTATTATTATTATTATTATAATTATTATTATTATTATTATTACAGTAGTCCTCACTTAACGTCGCCGCTTAACGTTATTTCAGTACTATATCGCTGAACTTTAGAGACAAAAATTTGTTTAACGTCCGGTGATCAATACTAAGCGTTTGTGGACTACTGTCTCATCACCGCTCTTGTCTAGCCTCTCTCTCTCAGCTCGGGCCTGCCCTCACTCGCAGACGATCGTGTCCCCAAAGCAACACCAAGCCAGTCTCTGTTACAACTTCAATATCATTTGTGTGTGTCAAGTGTTTTTGCTCTAAACTGTATTCTAACCATTCAAAATGGCTTCAGCGCCCTATCAAGTGCTACTGATGCTAGTGTAGTGAGCAATGTAAGACCATTACCTGGCTACAAAACTGGATATATTAACCCGAGTTGAAAAAGGAGCGTGCTGTGGACATTAGGCGCTGTGCAGTCAACCCCCCACAACTGTGGTACTATCCGAACCAAGCTGACAAGATCAAGGTTAGTGCTGGAAGTGGTTCTTCTCTGAGTGCTACTAAGGCGTTTCGTACTAGAAGCACTGTGACAGAGAAAGTGGAAAGATGCTGACAATGTGGATGGATGATCAGAATCAATGCAATGCCCTGTGAGCCTTATGGTTATCAGCATAAGGCCAGATCCTTTTTGATGACATAAAGGCAAAAGGAGTGAAGGATCGAAGGAAGAGGCTGGTTTCAGCGATTTAGCGTCAGTATAACTTCCAACATAAAGATGACTGGTGAAGCTGCCAGTTCCGAATCCGGTGCTGCGAAACATTCCCACCAGAATTCAAGCGGAACATCCAGCAAGGAGGCTATTCACGAAGCAAGTCTTCAATGTGGATGAGACTGGTCTCTTTGGAAGAGGATGCCTCAGAGGACTATATCTCCAAGGAGGAGAAAAGAGCCAAGTTTTAAAGGGCAAAAAACAACTGCGTTGCTGCTTGGTTGAGCGCTGCGGCGACTTCAAGCTGAAGCCCATGCTGATTTCTTGCGCTGCCAACCCACGGGCCCTGAAAGGTTACTCTAAAGATCACCTTCCTGTCATTTACAAGGCAAACAAGAAGGCATGGATAACCGGCATATATTTTGCCAGTGGTTAAACGTGTACGTCGTCCCTGCAATGAAGAAATACAAGTACTGTGCCAAGGAAAATCTTGACTTCAAAATTTTTCAGATCATTGACAATGCTGCAGCTCATCCTCCCAATCTCGACAACTTACATGACAGTGTAAGAGTTGTATTCCTGCCTGCCAACATGACAGCACTGATACAGCCTATGGACCAAGGCGTCATCGAGCATTCAAGGCGTATTATTTACGCCGTACCATGGCCCAGCTGCTCGAGGCTACAGACAGAAATAATAAACCAACATTCCAAGAATATTGACGTGGGTTCAACATCCTTCATGTAATTGACAACATTGGCAAGGCATAGGAAGAGGTTTCAGAAAGTTGCCTGAATGGTGTGTGGAATGGTTCTTGGCCGAGTCGTCAACAGTTTTCACGGATTCACGGACTTAGTCCCAGCTGTAAATAGGGACATTCTCAGCTTGGCTAGACAGGCAGTCTTTGATGAGCTGGAATCAGAGGATATTGAGGCGTCCTGGCATCCCTTACAGAAGAGCTCACCAGCGAAGATCTGCAACTGTTAACAGCACTCAGTCCTGTTGAAGGCGAGCGGCGAGCCTCAACGACGCTAACTACCAAGAGGATGGCAGAATCGTTGAACATGATCCAGCAAGCAATACAAATGCTTCTAGATGGCGACAAACAGAGAATGTAGCTCAAAGACTCAACGCAGCAGTGATGACAGTCTTGGTTGTTACACTGAGATCTATAAGGAGAAGATGATGAGTAGCACCAAGCAGTCAACACTGGATTCATTTTTTCGTTGCGGGACGGCAGAAGCAGCAGCAGCATCTTCACAACAGCTGGCAGCCGAGGAGGAGCAAACAACAGCGGAGGAGCAAGCAGCGGCGGAGGAACCCCGGTCAGAGCAGGAGGAGGAGGAGGTAGCCACAGAGTCTCAGTGACTCACCACCCTCCTCCGCTCTACTACCCGCCTCCTCCGCTCCTGCCATCCGCCTCCTTCACTTCACTACCCACCAGACACCTCCACCCATCGGTGAGTACACCATACAAACTTATTACAGGTGCTCCTCTACTTACGAACGAGTTATGTCCCTGAGGCTTGTTTGTAAGTCCAATTGTTAATAAGTCCAACTTTACTCTTGTAGATACCAAACATATTGTAAAAAATTAAAAGATTATGGATATTTATTACAGCTATACCCTTTAATACAGCCTTAAAACCTGGCTCCTTCGTCTCCTCTTAGGTAATGTTTGTTTAATCTGGAATTTTCTTCAAAATAATCCAGTCTCATCCACATTAAACACCTGTTCTGGCAGGTAACCCCCCTCAGTGATGATGTTTGTATCTCTGAAAGTTTGTAAGTTGAACGTTCTTAAGTATAGAAGCACCTGTACAGTACTTGTAGCTGTATATGCATGCACTATTTTCTGTATATGTAAAGTATTTCACGGGACAAAGGGAAGCTCAGGAACGTAACTCCCTTATTTTATCTATTTCTTATGGGGAAAATTGATCCACTTAACGTTGTTTAGCATAACTAAGTTTTCAGGAACATCTCGACGTTAAGCGAGGACTTACTGTATTACAATTGTTATTGTTATTATTGTTATTATTATTATTATTATTATGATTATTATTATTATTATTATTATTATTATTACGATTATTATTATTACTATTATTATTATTATTATTATTATTATTATTATTATTACAATTATTATTATTATTATTATTATTATTATTATTTATTATTATTATTCTTCTGTATTATTATTATTACGATTATTATTATTATTATTATTATTATTATTATTATTATTATTATTATTATTATTAATATTATATTATTATTATTACCATCATCATTACTATTGCAATAATTATTATTATTATTATTATTATTATTATTATTATTATTATTATTATTATTACAGGTAATATTATTATCATTATTACAGATATTATTATTATTATTATTATTATTATTATTATTATTATTATTATTATTATTATTATTATTATTATTACAGGTAATACAGTGGTCCCTCAGTTAACGAACGGTTCAATTAACAAAATTTCGATTAACGAATTACCTCCCATAAGGATCTTCAATTAAACTATAACAAAACTTCGATTAACAAAATCCTTACAACAAACACGTTTTGTTGTGAGCATCAGCTGATCAGCTGATGGGCCAGTCTGCCAATTCAGTAATCTGTTCTATGTTTACATTCGTTTCCAGTGGAGTAAATATCAAGAAAGTTGTGCTCTTTACCTGTATATTTATATAAAAATTATTAGTAATTTTAAAATTGAGTTAACATATTAATAATATATGCAGTACAGGAAACTAGTTTTTTTAGCCATCAACATCGACCCCCCCAGGCGTCAGTTTGGCTTTGTTTACAGTGGAGTGAACATCGATTTTGTTGGTGTCTTGAATATTTTTGCATTTTTACATTAAAATTATTGGTCATTCAGAAATTTAGTTAACATATTGATAATATATAGCACAGTACAGTGTTGATTTAAATAAAATAATCTTGAATTACAACTTGTGAATTTAAAATTTTATTGGTGAAATTACTGCATCAAGCATGGGTCCCCTGAAAGGTGATTTCTCCTCCACCCCCACTTCCTTCTCCCTTCTCCTCCATCCCCACTTCCTCCTCTTCTCCCTTCTCCTGCACCCCCACTTCTAGTTCCCATCTATCATCAATCAGGAACCTTCTACATACACACCTCAAAGTAAGTGTACTTTACTGCATTTTTTTTTACTTTGTATGTACTTTTCTGTGAGCTGGAACCAATTACCCAAAATCCCATTGAAACAATGGATTCGGTTAACGAACGACTCTGTGGAACAAATTGTGTTCATTAACCGAGGGACCACTGTATTATTATTATTATTATTATTATTATTATCATTATTATTATTATTATTATTACTATTACTATTATTATTATTAGTATTAGAGTCGACCCTCGTTACAACGGACTAATAGGGGGGGAAGGGTGTCTGTTTTAGCAGATTGTCCGAATTAACTGATTTAGGGGTTAATATTGCATAATATTGCATTATACAGCTATGTGTATGTTTATTTGAGTGCCCCATCATAGGAGTCCATTTTCTCTTAATCTTAGAGTGCAGTACACTAGTGACTTCTTTATTTCTTAGTAATGATACAGAATTTGAAATTGCAACTGGGGTTTTTGTGTTCAATTTACGTATGTCTGATTACTGTTGGAATATTCAAAATCCATTGAGAGTGATGTTTAAAGCATCAACTGTCTTTATGGTTGGTAAAACTTGTCAAGTCTGTCAGTCTGAATGGCATGTGTGAGGCCTTGTGTTTGTCGCTAAATATATAAATATATAATGTTATGGTAATTATCAGAAACACATAGGCATGCGGGGTTTATTACAAAGTGATGAAAAGGATACTGTAAAGTGGGTAGTCCACAAAACATGTAGCCTCTCTTTATTTGAGTGCCCGTCAAAGAGTCCATTTTCTCTCATGGGCCTGAGTCGTCCGTTTTCTCTTAATCTTAAGTGCACCAGGGACTTCTTTATTTCTTAGTAGTGACACAGAATTTGAAATTGCAACCCCAATTGCAACTGGGACAATCCCAGAACCAGAAATTTGATATGGACAGTTCAGATTTCGTCCGATTTATCCGAAATCCAGATTAAAGGGGTCCGAATTAACGAGGGTCGACTGTATTATTATTATTAGTACAGGTTGTATCTCTCTAGTCCGGCATTCTGTGGTCCGGAAACTCCTGTGGTCCGGAACGATTTTAGTTTGTCCAATAGGTAGATAGGCAG